CAAGGGGATGAAATGAGCCATTTTGGTAAACCTGTCAACAACTGTGAGGATAACAGTGTGTCTATTGGAAACCGGCAAATCAACAATAAAATCCATAGCCAGACTAGCCCAAGGTTTGTTGGGAACGACTAAGGGCTGCAACAGACCACAAGGAAGGGCCTGTGGTAGTTTATTCCTAACACAGATATCGCAGGCCTTGACAAAGTCTTCCACATCCCTCCGTAAACTAGGCCACCAGAAGTCTTTGGAAATCAGACAGCAAGGATGCCGGGGTGCCGGGGTGACCGGCAAACTTGTTATCGTGAAAGCATCGAATTATGTCCAATTGGAATTTGGGAGACACAAAGAAGCGGCCCACAGGAGTACGTTAGGGAGCAAGAGATTGTTCGTTAATTATATCTGCGAGTAATGGAGAGTGTATTTTGACATTGGTGTTGGCGATAATGTTATGTTCAGGAACAATAGGAGACAATATGTCTTCTATAATGGTAATAGGTTCGTGCTGACGAGATAATGCGTCTGCTTTGGTGTTTTTAGAACCAGGCCTGTAAGTAAGTATGTAATTGAAATGTGTAAGAAACATAGACCAACGTGCTTGCCTGGCAGATAATCTTTTGGCCTCCCCAATGTAAGATAAATTTTTGTGATCAGTCAAGATGGTAACCGGGAGAACAGTGCCCTCTAACAGATGTCTCCATTCTTTTAACGCCATAATAATAGCTAAGAGTTCTCTGTCACCAATATGGTATCTACTTTCAGTGTGTGATAATTTCTTGGAAAAAAAAACGCAAGGGTGTAAAGGCTTATCTAAACTTTGTCTTTGGGACAATACTGCGCCTATCCCTGTTTCAGACGCATCAACTTCAAGCAGAAAGGGCAGAGAGGTATCAGGATGAACTAATACAGGTGTTGAAGCAAAAGTCTGTTTGAGCGTTTCGAAAGCAGATAAAGCCTCAGTAGACCATGTTTTGGTATCGGCTCCTTGTTTAGTCATATTAGTGATAGGAGCGATAACAGAGGAGTACCCTTTAATGAAACGTCTGTAATAATTCGAAAATCCAATAAATCTTTGAATGGCTTTGAGTCCCTTGGGTAAAGGCCAATCTAAAATCGATTTTAGTTTGATCGGGTCCATCATAAATCCGTCCTTGGAAATTACGTAGCCTAAGAAAGTTACCTGAGACTGATCAAAGCTACATTTCTCCAATTTACAATACAATCCATGTTGTAAAAGTTTCTGTAACACCCTTCTGACTTGTCTGTGATGTGAGTCAATGTCCCTAGAATGTATTAGTATATCATCCAAATATACTATCACGCATTCGTGTTGAAATTCTCTAAGGACCTCATTAATCAAGTCTTGGAAGACGGCCGGGGCATTGCATAGCCCAAACGGCATTACAGTATACTCATAATGTCTGTAGTGGGTATTGAATGCTGTCATCCATTCATCACCTTGTTTAATTCTCACCAAGTTATATGCTCCTCTCAGGTCAAGTTTGGTTAAAATACTGGAGCCCTTTAGTCTGTCAAAGAGTTCAGTAATCAAAGGAATGGGGTAAGCATTCCTGATGGTAATTTTGTTCAATCCCCGATAGTCTATGCAAGGACGTAAGGTACCGTCTTTCTTTTCTACAAAAAAAAAACCTGCCCCCGCCGGAGATGAAGACTTTCTAATAAATCCTTTGTCTAGATTTTCCTTGATGTATTCCTCTAAAACTAAATTTTCTTTGGTAGACAGAGGGTACACCGTACCCCTAGGGGGCATAGTACCAGGCAAAAGTCTAATAGTACAGTCATAAGACCGGTGGGGAGGTAAAGTATCAGCCTTACTCTTGTCAAATACAGACTTGAGATCTAGATACTGAGATGGGATCTGAAAGTCTGTGGATTGAGAAGAGTTGGTAGATGAGTTTACTGGGCAAACAGAAGTGACTCTCCGCAAACATTTCTCCCTACAACCAGTTCCCTAAGAAACGATTTCTCCACATTCCCAGTCAATCTGGGGGTTATGTCTCTTGAGCCAAGAATATCCTAGAACCACTGGGACAGCCGGGGAGGATATTAACAGGAGGGATATCATCTCCTTGTGGAGGATACCAATAGTAAGTTTAACGGCTTTAGTCTCATGGAATATTAGTGGTTCAGACAAAGGTCTACCATCTATGGCCTCAACGGCCAAGGGTGTATCTCTCAGTTGGAATGGGAGACAATGCTTATTAGCGAAAGCTTGGTCTATAAAACTTTCTGCTGCTCCAGAGTCTAACAACGCCATCGTAGATATAGTGCCACTTTTCCAAGCTAAAGAGACAGGAATCAGAAGCCTATGGTCTTTATTATTACACATAGAGGACAATATAGAAACACCCAAGACCCGTCCTCTAGGGGAACTTAGGTGCGAGCGTTTCCCGGGCGATTAGGGCAATTAAAACGTAAGTGGCCTCTCTGCCCGCAGTATAAACAGAGACCCTCCCTTCTTCTGTACTGTCTCTCGGCCTCAGATAAGCGAGTATTACCTATCTGCATAGGTTCTGGTGGAGTGGAATTGTAGGAGTCAGGGTTCTGAAAGGAAGGAGCGAGTCTCACAGGAGGTCTATTAGCTCTTTCACAAGTATTCTGCCTCTGTCTCATGCGTACATCTATTCTGGAAATAAAAGACACTAAATCTTCTAAATTTTCTGGAAGTTCTCTTGTGGCAATCTCATCTAGAATCTCATCAGACAACCCGTTCAAAAATACATCCATAAAAGCTTGTTCGTTCCATTTCACCTCTGCTGCCAGTGATCTAAACTCTAACGCATATTCTACAAGAGTTCTATTCTGTTATTTAAGGCGTAACAGAGATCTGGCAGCATTAATCTTCCTTCCTGGGGGGTCAAAAGTCCTTCTGAAAGCTGTGACAAATGCAGTATAGTTGTAGACTAAAGGGTTATCATTCTCCCAAAGGGGATTGGCCCATCTAAGTGCTTTGTCTATTAGCAGTGTTATCATGAACCCTACTTTAGCCCTGTCAGTAGGATAAGCCCGGGGTTGAAGTTCGAAATGTATGCTTATCTGGTTTAAAAAACCTCGAACCCCCATAACGTAACGGGGAAGTGACATGGGAAGATGCGCCTACAGTGGCTACTTCCAAACCAGTATTTAGAGGGTGGCTAGCTGTGGAACGTATTTCTTCTGACTGGGTACTGGGACGTGCTAGCAAAGTTTGCAACGCTAGAGCCATTTGGTCCATTCTATGGTCCATGGCCTCAAATCTGGGGTCAGGAGGACTAGCACCTGCAGGATCCATATGGCCCTGTCGTAATGTCAGGATCGTGACAGGGATCCAATACGCAGAGTGCGGACAGAAGGAGGTACGTATACCGGACCTTAGAATGGCCGGACTAACGTATAGACGAAACAAGAATGGTCAAAAAGTAAGCCGAGGTCGAGGGAGCCGGAGGACAGGTAAGCGAGGAACAAGCAGAGTCAAAGGAGAGGAGAGAACAGCAGGACAAGGTATAAGCGAGGTCAAAACCGAAAACACAAAGAGAGAGAACGCGCTGAGTGACTAGCAAGCTAGAACCACGACAGGGCAATGAGCAGTAGTAAAAGTTTCCCTTAAATACCCTGTCACCTTAATTGAGACCACGCCCCCAAAAGGTCCGGGATTGCGGTTCCCAGCGCTTCATGAAAATGATGACGTCATGACGTCGACGCTAGCCGTCGCATCATAAAAGGGGGAGGAGCTAGCGTGACCACGCGAAAACGGCCGGAAAATGCCGAAATGCTTGGGGGGGAAGCCCCTATGAAGAGAGACTGACCTCCTCAGATGCATAATTTACAGGTACCCTGACAATGTCACATCCTGTTCCAAGTTGCGGATCAGTCTGGTGATGGCTTCTGGTATCCAGTACTCTTTTTACTGAAGCTGCAACAGGGTCCTGGTATGTGGCCGCACAAATGCTGGTGCTCAACACGAGGGGGCATGCGGTTACCCTGCACCAGACCCTGCTAATCCATTCCACGCTGTGACTCCTAACTTCAACATCAGGCATACTGGGTCCCGGTCGTCCGACTGCCGCCCTGACAGTGTCTGGGTCCTGGTCACCGGACTGCATACCTGACTGTGAAACTACGAATGGATCGTTATATCTGGTACGAACCCAAACTTTGCAAAGGACATATGGAAATTGTTTTAGAATTGTATCAGGCAACAATTTTCCCTATAAACGGACCTCTCAGTTTGACTTGTGAGGGTATTGCCCCAGAATTACAATATTATTGAAGTACCTCTTAGCTATTGATAACTGGTTTAAATATAGCAGCTTGTTATCTGGTAGTTTCCAGTGTAGAAAATATCAATCTGTTTTCTATCACTTAGATCTGTGTAACAAGTGTTGTAGGTGTGAAACAATATTACAAGTGACCGATGTAGTAAATTCAAATCAAAGTTACGCTTTGATTTTACTCTCAGATATGAAGTGAACACCCCAAATATACTATTCCTGGCTAATCATGGCAGCATCACTTATGGGTTAGCTCCACCCTCAGCCAGATCAGGACAGAAAACAATTAAACAATTAACAAGGCTGTAGGCATAAAGGGTTCCTCCTCCCTCCATACCTCAGTCTTTTTTCTGTCCTCAGTCGGACAACAGGAATTTATTCTACAGTCAGATTTTATTTTTTGGCCACCTCCCACGTTTACTGTGGGCTTACCAGATGAAGTTCAGCCTCTCTTCATCTGAAGAACTCAGTAATCAGGCTGCACGGGCAGAACTAACTGAGTTTGGTGTGTGCAGTTTAGAGACGGTCATACATGAAGATTCTGGACTATGTATCTGGATTTCAGGAAGGCACAATTCAGGAGTTCGTATTTCTTTAATTCCCTAAACTGAATTTGGTGCTGTATATATACATATGAGTATATCTCATATGCCTCAGGAAGGGCTTAAACAGTGGATCTCTCAGGCTATAGCGGAAGGAATTAGATCCTCTTCAGGGAAGGGACAGCAAGCAATGCGGTCCAGACAAGAGTCTGGGTCTTCTGAATCTGAAGATAATTCTGATGTCCAGTTTTTCTCTGACGAAGAAGAGGAGGAGATAGATCATTCATCAAGATCACTGGATTCTAGATCCGTGGAGAAGTTGATTTCACTATTAAGAAATACTTTAAGGATCCCTGAAGATAAAGCAGAGGTGCGTGAGTCAGACAGGTATTTTGAAGATCTTAGGTCAAATAGACCTACCTTTCTGGTTCATGCAGCTATCAAAGAAGTCATCTCTCAAGAATGGAGTAGGCCAGAGAAGAAAGCTACTCTGAAGAGTAAAGCTTCTAGGGTATATCCATATTCTCAGGTGGATTCTAAAGCTTGGATGTCCATTCCTAAGATTGATGTGGCTGTTATCCATATGGCCAAAAAGACTACTCTTCCAGTAGACTCAATGGCTTATTTACGCGAACCCATGGAAAAACAGTTGGATGCGGATTTAATTAAGGCATACCTGGCTCTGGGGTCTGCTTTACTTCCAGCAGTGGCATTGACGACACTTTCTAGAGCCTTAAAGGTTTGGCTACAGAATTTGTAGGAAGATATAGCAACGGGGATTCGCAGTGAGCATCTGATTGAAAGTCTGAAAGATTTCCACTTGGCATCAGAAATTTGCTCAGAGGCCTCTCTCGATATTACCAAGATGGTGGCTAAGAGCATGGCTCTGACGGTAGCATCCAGAAGGACGTTGTGGCTACATGCTTGGGGTGCGGACTATGCATCAAAAGCATCTTTATGTGCTCTTCCCTTTCAAGGCGATCTACTTTTCGGCAAAGTTCTGGAGGAGGCCATCCATAAGGCAGCTGATGGTAGAAGAGCCTTTCTTGCTCAGGACAAAAGGCGTCCCTTATCCAGTATGTGGAAGAATAAAATATAAGGATCGCTCCTTTCGTGACTCCAGGACATATTGTCCAGGCAGAGAGTACAAGAAATACTCAAATTAGAGAACAAATCAACCATCTTCTTCTTCCTCAAAGTTCTCCAGAGGTAGAGGTTCCAGACCTGCTAATAAGGGATTCTGAAGGTGCGCAGGTCCAGCCAGGGATAGGAGGTCGTCTCCTAAAGTTCTTCCCCGTCAGGATCAAAAACGTCTCCGATTCATGGGTACTGTCAATTATAAAAGAAGGATACATCATAGAATTTTCAAGTATCCCACCACCTACCTTCAAGCAATCTCGCGTGGCAAGAGGGATAAAGGAAGTAGCTATGATGGCTTGCATCAAGGAACTAACCCTACAAAGAGGTTATTGTGGAGGTTCCGAAGGCAGAAAAGTTCAAAGGCCACTATTCAACCGTGTTTCTGGCTCCAAAGCCTTTAGGCAAATGGAGACTGATTCGGGACCTAAAGGTCTTAAACTCCTACCTAGAGACTAAGTCATTCAGGATGGAGTCCATTTCCAGTATTGTCGGCAACATAAAGGAGGGAAGTTGGATGACATCCATAGACCTCAAGGACACATTATCAGATTCCCATTCACCCATCGCATGTAAAGTTTCTGCGTTTTTACATATGGGGGAAGCATTACCAATTCAGGGGACTTCCCTTTGGGCTTAGTCTAGCTCCAAGGACGTTCTCGAAGGTTCTCATTGCACCGATTGCCATTCTAAGGTTGCAGAGGATAGAGATTTTCCATTACCTTGACGATATTCTTATCGTGGGTTCCTCGGCCAAGGAAGTGTCACTTCACACTCAAACTGCTATTCACTGTCTACAGGCTCACGGATGAATGCTGAACTTAGGGAAGAACTCTCTGATACCATCCCATAAGATAATTTTCCTGGGGGCAAAAATAGATACTGCTGTAGCAACTCTCTCTCTTTCGCCAGAAAGAATGACAAAGATTTGCGAGAAGATTATGGATATTCAAGACCGTCAGTCCCTTTCTGCCAGAAGCTATATGAGCCTCTTGGGGTCCCTGACGTCCACGATAGGGCTGGTAAGATGGGCCCATTGGCAAATTCGACCTATCCAGATGGGGTTTCTATGGCAGTTCAACAAGCACAATCCGAACTGGGATCAAAAAATTGTTCTTATGAAGTATGCAAAGAATCAGCTGAAGTGGTGGAAGAACAAGAAGAATATGAGTCAGGGGTTTCCATTGGAGGAACTGAACTGGTTAATAGTTACTACGGACGCAAGCTTACAAGGTTGGGGAGCTTATCTGGGATCTCTTTGGAAACAGGGAAGGTGGTCCAACACGGAGAGAAAAATGCATTCAAACTTAAAAGAGTTGAGAACTATTCTCAAGGCCCTTCAAGGGTTCCTTCATTTAATACAAGATGCTTGGATTATGATTCAGACAGACAACAGGGCAGTGGCATCATACGTGAACCACCAAGGTGGTACTCGGAGCAAGCTTCTGTTGAGGGAACTAACTCCTCTTATGTCTCTGGCACAGAATCATCTTCAGGGATTAAAGGCAGTATATCTACCAGGTCCTCAAAATATTTTGCCAGATTACCTGAGCAGATCAAGTATTTTGCCAGGAGAATGGAAGCTACATACAGAAGTATTCCAAGCAATTATTCTTCGGTGGGGCATACCACAGATCGACTTAATGGCTACGAACAGGAACACTCAGGTACCGAAGTACTTCTCTCTTCTAGCAGCCCATCGGGCAATGGGTCAGGATGCTTTGTCTCAAATATGGGATTTCTATCTGGGATATGTATTTTCTCCCTTACCGATAATTCATCGCTTACTAAAGAAAATTTGGATGGAGAATCAAGTGATAATAGCTATCATCCCGTTCTGATCAAGGAGGCCCTGGTTCCCTCTCCTGTGCAAGATGTCCTTGGAGGAACACTGGCAGCTTCCAATCAGGAATGATCTGCTAAGCCAGGGTCCTGTCTACCATCCCAACTTCGTACATCTGAGACTGGGGGCTTGGCTTTTGAAAGGGAACGGCTCCTGCAAACAGGATTGTCTGAGGCAGTAACGAATATGCTTCTTCTGTCTAGGAAGAAATCTACGTCCAAGTGTTATCACCGTATATGGGAATCATTTAAGTCCTGGAATCTTGACAAAGGTCTAGACTTCTTGAAACCTGATCAGAACCAGATTTTGGAGTTCTTACAGGCTGGATTGGATAAGGGTTTAAACCTGAGTACCTTGAAGGTGCAGTGTTCGGCACTATCGGCCCTCTGTAACTACTCTTTGGCTTCAAATCCTCTGATTGACAGGTTCTTTAAGTCTACCATTTGCATTAGACCTCCTCTGCGCAACTATGCTCCTCCTTGGGATCTTCCTCTGGTCTTGGATGCCTTGTCCGAAATTCCTTTTTCTCCTCTAGAGAACTTGGATTTCTCTCACATACAAAACTCTTTTTGTTGGCTGTTACGTCAGCCAGAAGAATCTCGGAGGTGAGAGCTCTCTCCTATGAAGAGGACTATATTCAGGTTTTCCAAGATAGAGTGGTTTTATGTCCAAAGTTGGAATTCCTTCCGAAAGTTGTCTCAAAATTTCACTTACACCAGGAGATAGTTCTGCCTTCTTTTTTTCCTGAACCTTCCTTGGAGCTGGAGGTGAAGCTTCATAATCTGGATATTAGGGAATACTTGATCAGGTATTTGTCTGTTTCTAGTACATTTCGTAAGACGGATCATTTGTTCATTATTCCTGAAGGCTCCAGGAAAGTTGAAGCTGCTTCCATTTCTACACTACGTAGATGGATTTCCAACATCATCACTAAAGCTTACACTCTGAAAGGTGTTTCTCCTCCGAAACGGATTCTCATTCGACTAGGCCTTTGGCTACTTCATGTGCTAATTGGGCAGAGGTGTCCCCTGATGACATATGCAAGGCAGCAACGTGGTCTTCTCCTATGACCTTCATAAAACATTATAGGCTGAATGTAGCCTCTTCTTCTACTAAGTTTGGCAGAAGCGTGTTGGCTTCCGTTAGCTCAGCAAAATAAAATTAAATGTTATTGCAGTTAAAATGTGTGGATTATTTTTCCCAACCTTTCTTGCTAGTTTGCTTGGGTATTACCCATAAGTGATGCTGCCATGATTAGCCAGGAATACCAAAATTTTGTTTCATACTTACCAGTAAATTTATTTTCCTGGCTATTTCTCATGGCAGCATCAGGTTCCCGCCCTGGGTTTTGTCTGAGCTTTTCAATTGGACTGAGGTATGGAGGGAGGAGGAACCCTTTATGCCTACAGCCTCATTAATTGTTTAATTGTTTTCTGTCCTGATCCGGCTGAGGGTGGAGCTAACCCATAAGTGATGCTGCCATGAGAAATAGCCAGGAAAAGAAATTTACTGGTAAGTATGAAACTAAATTTCGGTATCTAGCACCAAAAATTAAAAAAATGTACTTTTTAAAACTCCAATGTAAGCAGCAGATTAGCAGCAAAACAATTAGAATTTTTACAACTGCGCAGTAAGCGCACTATTAGACGCTTCAATTTGACTCTCAGATATGAAGTGCACCGCAGGCCACAAATGTACTATTTAGCAGATTAGCAGCAAAACAATTATAATTTTTACAACTGCGCAGTACGCGCACTATTATACTCTTCTATTTGACTCTCAGATATGAAGTGCACGCCCCAAAATGTACTATTTAGCAGATTAGCACCCATAAAATTAGAATATTTACCACTGCGCTGTAAGTACACTATTAGACGCTTCGATTTGACTCTCAGATATGAAGTGCACCGCAGGCCGCAAATGTACTATTTAGCAGATTAGCAGCAAAACAATTAGAATTTTTACAACTGCGGTGTAAGCACTTTATTAGACGCTTCTATTTGACTCTCAGATATAGAAAGCACTCCCCAAAATGTACTATTTAGCAGATTAGCACCCAGAAAATTAGAATTTTTACACGCTATTAGACGCTTCGATTTGACTCTCAGATATGAAGTGAACACCCCAAATATACTGAGCAAAAAACAGGGCGCAAGAGAATACTGAGAACAGGCAGCAGCTGAAATAGCCTGCCCTTCGGTGGTTCCCCGCTTAGTTCTCAAGCTGGTTTTAGCTCATCTTGTGCCATTACAGAGAGAACATCTCTGAAGCATATCAGACTAGTCCCGCCCATACGGGCAGTCCATATCCGAAATGCCAGCAAGTTCGCTCTGCACAAGAGATACAGCAACCCCAGACGATTGTTTCAGCCTTGTTAGGCATCATCAGTGAGGCATAGCTGATATCTCTCTAGACACTGTGAGCAAGGGGTCCACATCTGGATTACCCTTTAAACTTATGGAGAGCAAAAAATGGGGTGCAAGAGAATACTGAGAACAGGCAGCAGCTGGAATAGCCTGCCCTTCGGTGGGTCCCCACTCTGTTCTCAAGCTGGTTTTAGCTCATTGTGGCGAAACTGGCCTCGCCACGTGTCCTTGGAGGGGGCTGCTTGCCCGCCTCTTGCCTTTGGACTATGGACCAGACTTTATGTGAAGGTGTTAATCCAGATAGCTATGCCATGGAGCCCATTCGTGTAGTTAAAGACTTTGGCTCCATGGCAATTGAACTGTGTGAATAGGATCTGAGCGCTATTCGGTAGTTTTGTGCGCTCAGATCCCAGCTATCTGGGGATATGTGAAATGTCTGTGTGTTATGTGTAAAAAGTGACTTTATGTATTTTAAAGTGTTTTGTGTCTTTTGCAACCATGTGCTTAATGGAGTCTTGTGTCTGTCCTGGGAGATAATTGAATTACTTATCTCCAGGATAGAAGACTCTGAAACTGGTTTGGGCCAGAAAGCCATGCTTCATTTAGTCACAAAGGACTTTTTACTAACTTTTGAACCCCTTGTCTGATTTGTGCCATTTTTGAATATGTTGTTCCCCTGAATGGATTGATTGTGAATATGTAATTTTATGTGAATGTGATGTATGGTTTTGGAGTTATGAAAGTTGGGTAGAAAGTATGTTTTAACTGTATGTGTAATTGAGTTTCCTCTCAGGATAAGGGGAGGGAATATGTGGGATGTAACTGTGATGTGATTGGTTGTTTTATACCTCCCTGTGGGCGGTCCTGTATGTGAAAGACTGTAATAAAAACCAGGCTGGGTGTGCCAGCACAGGAGTTCCTGCTTAACCCTCAAAGTGAAGTGTCGTCTCATTATTGGGGAAGGATTTATTGTATGCTGTTCCAGTTTGACTGCTAGGAGAGTAAACCTATTCGTATGGTTCCTATTCAACTGTCTACAGCATTCATATGCTTGAGAGGATTCATATGCTTCTCCGGTTCGGTGGTTGTGGTGTCTGCTGCAGTGCTTGGAGTCCTCAGGAAGCGCTAGGAGCATCTTTCAACGGAGGTACCCAGTCGGGGTGCCAGGCGATCCGTTACACTCATCTTGTGCTATTACAGAAAGAACATCTCTGAAGCATATCAGACTGGTCCCACCCATACAGGCAGTCCAGATCCAAAATGCCAGCAAACTCCCTCTGCACAAGAGATACAGCAACCCCAGATGATCATTTTAACCTTGTTAGGCATCAGTGAGGCATTGCTGATATCTCTCTAGGCACTGTGAGCAAGGGGTCCATGTCTGGATTACCTTTTAAACTTATGGAGAGCAAAAATCAGCTATGCCTCACTGATGATGCCTAACAAGGCTGAAACGATTGTCTGGGGTTGCTGTATCTCTCGTGCAGAGGGAACTTGCTGGCATTTCGGATCTGGACTGCCCGTGTGCATGGGACTAGTCTGATATGCTTCAGATATGTTCTCTCTGTAATGGCACAAGATGAGCTAAAACCAGCTTGAGTTCTGAGCAGGGATCCACCAAAGGGCAGGCTATTTTAGTTGCTGTCCGTTCTCAGAATACTCTTGCGACCAGTTGTTTGCTCTCCATAAGTTTAAAGGGTAATCCAGACGTGGACCCCTTGCTCATGGTGCCTAGAGAGATATCAACTATGCCACAGTGATGATGCCTAACAAGGCTGAAATGATCATCTGGGGTTGTTGTATCTCTCGTGCTGGCATTTCTGATCTGGACTGCCCGTGTGCGTGGGACCAGTCTGATATGCTTCAGATATGTTCTTTCTGTAATGGCACAAGATGAGCTAATACCAGCTTGCGTTCTGAGCGGGGATCCACCGAAGAGCAGGCTATTTTAGTTGCTGTCTGTTCTCAGAATACTCTTGCGACCTGTTTTTTGCACCCCAAATATACTATTTGGCACCAAATTTTTTTAGCAGATTAGCAGCAAAACAATTAGAATATTTACAACTGCGCAGTAAGCGCACGATTTGACGCTTCTATTTGACTCTCAGATGTGAACTGCACCGCAGGCCCCAAAATATACTATTTAGCAGATTAGCACCCAGAAAATAAGAATGTTTACAACTGCGCTGTAAGCACACTATTAGACACTTCTATTTGAGTCTCAGATATGAAGTGCACCCCACTAAAATACTATTTAGCAGTTTAGCACCCAAATAATTTTAAGTTTTAAAACTGCAATGTGACAGCAGTATTTGACGATTCTATTTGACTCTCAGATATGATGTGCACCCCACTAATGTACTATCCCACTAATGTATTATTTAGCACCAAAAAAATTATACTTTTTAAAACTCAGATGTAACCGCGGTATTTGAAGCTTCCATTTGACTAATGTACTAGTTTGCAGAATTCTTTCCTAAGCTGTCCCTATCAGCGGCAGCATCCTCTCCCTACACAAATAAGACCTCATGTGCGTGCGGCGCTACGCAACTCCAGCCTATATATAGAGGCTGGGTCACATGCTGCACTGGCCAATCACAGCCATTAGATGGCTTCTAAGGGCACATGAGTCAAACGCTTGTTGACTGGCTGCCCTGCAGCCTTTGAAAACATGCCATTAAATAGCTGAACACCGAACTCCAACCCGAACATACAGTCATAGTCCGTGTTCGGGTCCGGGGTCCAAAAAACCTAATGTTCGATAAGAACCCGAACTTTACAGTCCGGGTTCGCTCAACTCTAATCATGTGTGTATGTGTTCAGGGTATCCAGTGTGTGTGTGTGTGTGTGTGTGTGTAAGTAATGCATTGTGTGTGTAGGGCTATACTATAGATATTGTAGCTGCCCAGGAGTAGTGGGAGTTTGAGCGCAGGGCTTAATTTTATATGTTTGCATTTGCTTTTGTATTATACAGCCATGTTACAGTGCTGCCACCTGCTCCCTAGCAAGGATTAATAAATGTGCAGGAGTTTAGAAAAATACCCCTCTCTCTCATGAGAGATTTTGCCATTTGGCTTAAAGAAGCAAGGTGAATTGTTAGCGTAGGACTCATCTAAAAAGGTTTTGCCTTGACATGGTAGGTGAGCTTCCACTTTTTGAACATTGGATACCAAAAAACTTTCAGTTATTTAAATGTGCTTGTGGTTTGGGATAGTGCAAAACTAACTTTTTTTTCTAAAATGTTCAAATGTGTCAACTTTAGATTGTTACATATTCATTGCTATGGGAGGGGCTTAGGGAGATGAAATCCTGGATGTGAGGCTCTTTAGCTCCAGTTCTTTATAGTTAGTGGAAAACGCAGGATGGTATTTTTGGTTGTTTAGAATCTTTGATTTTACATCAGGCAGATGATTTGAGATGCACTTTATTTGGAAAAAATTTTTTAGCAGTATAGTGCATCCCTAGGCTGCTTAGGAAAGGGGATTGTTTTGTCCAGGTAACTAGTGAGAAGGGTTGCTTGAGAAAAATAATGTTGTTGTATACTTTTCTATCTGTTTGGTAGTTTGGTGAGATTAAATTGTGTAATGTGCTGTGCAGCAAGAGCTTCTTATGACTGATTTATTTAAGATCCTGGCTCAACAGCGTGCTAAGCATGGTATAGAGAAGATTATTTAACATGGAAAAAGGTGGGGATACATCAATGATATGTCTCTGCTTCGGGCTCAAGCCCCAGGTGTTTCTGGAATATAGCAATGCCCTTCTTATATCTAATAACAAGGGGGAGATCTTATTTTCATAATGATTGTATTTTCTTTTGCAAACTTCTGTTAATTAAAAAGGGGATCAGTAGCATCAGGAGTGATTTTTAATTTAAAAAAATATTTTAATACATTAAAGTAAAAAGTCAGTGGACAAATGGCGACCCATTCACCTGTTTCACCCTGAAAAGAACAAAGCTTTCCCACACATTGTGCCCTTAGTGCAAGTGTCCTTCATTGGGGAAAAACACAGTGACCCATTAGCTTATAGCAACTGCAGACATACATGGCAAGACTCGAAGAGTGACACCACTACAATGAAAGGCATTTCAAAAGGGATAGAAGCAGAAAAAGTTATTTCATTATTATTATTTTTAATTATTTTTATTCCACCCACAGATTTTAAAATACTTTGGGTTGGGTCCGATCTCCATGTTGAATGGCTACATGAACGATCTGCTTCTGCAGCTCTTAGGTGATATTGCTTAAAATTGACAATTAATCTACTTATCTTGTTATGGGGATATGAAAATATTACACTTTTAGAATGAAAAGTTGTATTTCTTAAACTGTGTACTTGATTTTGCAAACTGCAAATAGTTTTTCATACAATGGTGTACAGACTTTAGGACGCCATCTTGTCCTAGGTTAGTGTAATTCCTCAAGTCATGGAATTTCCCTACGTTTTAGTCTAGATATAGATAGGATGTCCCCATGTGAAATTACCAAGTAAAGGTAGTTCCTAAAATTACCAAATTGAACATCTAAGGTATAAATATGTGTACTTATTAATATTAGGATACAGAGGAGAGAGATTGGAGACAGGGATGTTGCTCCATTTTAATGACAGAGAGGTTGACATGTTCAGGAGGATATGTTATTCTATTTTACGGATATTGCAAGCATATATTTTAATCTTATAAACTCTGCTATAAATTATTGCAATGGACTATTAAGGTTTTATATGTCTATATATCTTTATTTATTTAATAAAATATTTAAAAAGGCAAACCTTTATTGCTTCCAAGACAATCCCTATTTATATTGTATTCTCAATTATTTATATATTTTAACTCTTACTAACTATATAATATTATGGCTAAGATATCTGTATGGTTAGCCCTGCTAAATTATCTGCTTTAATACATTATAGTGGTAAATATGGGGACCAGCTGCGATTACAATCTGAAGCCTATAAGCAGCAGTCCTGCATGCATAGAGGTGCTGGAACTCACACTTTACTCTCCTTGTAATTTCTAGTCCCTTGGAGGGTACTTAGATATCGTGTTAGCTGATGGGGCAGACAGCCAATGTCCTGCTATCGTGCACTACGGTTTCAAGCTGAATCTCTGTAGATATTCGGAACTGGCCTAATTTTCGCCCATGTGGACACATGGGGTTGATCACGATCTGCACCCTGGGGCCCTCCTGCAACTCAGATTCACTGTTGTCTTGTTGAATAGGAAGGCATTCTACTCACCAAGATAGCAGACGCCTCATGTCAAGCTGCATACTGCAGAGGCCGAGATGTCTCTGTAATTTATGCCTCTGACATGTTCCCTTTCGGTATGATTTTCATTGTTTATTTTTTGCTTTCACCTAGCCTAACATTTATAGTTACTCAGGGGCATTATTTAACTAATGCATGGGTGCTGGGCTTCCCAGGACAGAATTATACTCTTAAGCTTATAAACTGTTTTTTGTCTATGTCATTATTTTTATATGGCATATGGCTATGCCATATAAAAATAATGACATAGACAAAAATCTTCATGTCTGATGCTTCTTGGGGGGATTCTCCCTTAGTGGCTTCTTGCGGGGAGTCTACAAGAACTAGAGAGCAACTTTGTGAATTTCTACAAGTCCACTACTTTCATGAGATTCCTTCCTTTGATCAGAAAACAGACAGAATAACAGTTGAACTAGCTGTGGTGGAAGGAACTGCAGTGCTGTGGAAGAAACAGTAGACCTTATTGTGGAGCTGGTGGTGTTCTTAATGGCCTAGCTAACTCTTGCTGTAAATACAGTTACTTCTGCTATACTGATTTTCCTGCTACCATAGTCTTTGAATCTCTAATTGCAGCATAAGTAGATCAAGAAAATAAAATGCCTCCAGAGTGTTGTGAATTGTACATTACGAACATGCGGATCCCAAAATCCTGAGGCTAAATTTTATTACTAGTACTGGTACCTAATGTAGTGGTAGGCTCAGTGGTGGAAGAGGTGTCCCCAGTCCTCATAGCCAAGGAAATTGTTTTAGGACTCTGATAGACTATGGCAATAATGCTAATGGAGAATTGGAAAACACAACCCCTTTCTCTACCATTCTTCAATTTCTACCTGGGATTAGTATGTAACATTGATTAAAAAATGGCCACAAACTATTGAATGAGCAAAGCACTTATAGTGTCCACAAAGAATACAGCATATCAGATCATCTGTTGTTCACAAGAAAAAGTCAGTGAATCAAATTTGGAGTAAGTGTAACACTGGCAGTGCCTAGGCACAACATCAACCTTGTAAGCCAACCAATTAGAATGCGCTGACTGTGAATGCATAGCATTCCATCACCATACCAGCTCAGTCTGCATGGAGCCCTCAATGAGCCAAAATAGTTTCCCTGTTTACGTCCCGCAAGTCTTTTTTTTTTTGTGATCTGATCTTTTTTTTGTGTTTATTAATAAAGTTAAAGCCACCACTTGCTGCTCATGGGTCCCCAGTATTTAATATTATAGCCCCCATCCACTGACCATGGCTGGGAGCAGAGTGGGAACATTAAGTCTTCCCTTTTATTATTTCATTACCCCCACTGTGATTTCAAGAGGGAAGCTAGGATTTCTCTCCCACTTGTTTTCATGTAACAGTGCCCACTGACTGGCTGGAGGCAAGGGTGAGGGAGAGGGTGAGGGGGGGGGGGATATTGAAACTCCCACCTATAAGCCAGAATAATAGTTAATATGAAAAACTGCATTATTTACATTCTGTCCCCCTTTTTTATCTATCAAGAATGGAACTCTGAATCAAGAAACTATCCATTGGGTGAGTTGTTTCTTTGGTGATATGTTCACATGGCTCTTTGGAGTTACATAATTCAGACAAACCACCTAGTCTAATAAACTCTTCAATCAGTATTTCCTTCTGATTGACCGTCAGTTACTGACTTGGCCTTATTCAATTCAGCTCTCTGATATTCTTTCTCTGACCATGTCTGTTTTCCATTTTGCTGTTTTGCTTATCTCTCTAGATGCTAGGTTGGTAGATTCACATTCTCATACCTTTGCTTGTGTGTGTTTCTTCGTTCTCCATGTAATTAATTTCTGCTTTAATTAAAGACTCACTGGGGATTTATTGTCAACACCAAGAGAGACCAAGTTGCTTGCTGTACTTTCTTAAAATCTTAAATGTAAAACATTACTACACAGATATATATGTATATACAATATACCAGGGGTAGGCAACCTATGGCACATGTCTTTGCACGGCACTCAAGGCTGCTAGAGCCAAACAGGCTGTGGCCTTTTAGGAGTCCCAGTGAAAATTCAGATATCTGCTAATACGAAAAGGTGGTAAAGGACAATCCTCAATGTATGCAATGCAGCACGTGTATCTCAGATCACTTCCTCCCAGCACTTGTGAAAGGGAATCCTCACTGTAGTAGAGCAGTCTGCAGCTGCTGTTGCAGCTCCTGTCCTGTCCTTGACCTGTACCTGGCTAGCCTGGTCCCCACTGGAACCCAGGGAACCCACACACACAATGCTAGATATACACAGAAGTACAGAATAACCCTCCCCTCATACAAATAATCCGAACAGCCCACACACAAACATACACACAATCCCCACAAACTCAACACCACTAACAATCCACATACATGCACACAACTACACGTGCAGCCTCTCACATGCAATACCCCAAACAACCCCACACATACACACACTACCAAACACACAATGTGACATATCCATCCACACACACAATTCCACAAGCAGCCCCCATACACGTTTATAGGTATCATACACGATACCACAAACTACTCACGAACATATAAAATATAATAGCTCATATACACACACAAATACAACGATCCAAAGCAACTCCAATATGAATAATACAAGCAGAATACGGCAACATGCGCACCTCAATTTTAAAAATTGGACCGGCACGCTACCGGACATTACAATCTTATTTCGGCACAGTGCTGTTAAAAGGTTCCCTACCCCTGCAATATGCAGTATTTCAGGTTACCAATCTGGTTATACCACTTGTTTAGCCAGTGAGTGTTTATATGTATTAACTTTAGTTTATTGTTAGTTTTTCTTTTTTAATATTATTATGGTTGAGTTGCAGCTAAGCTTAGCCCAACATGTACCATTGATTTTATATAGCTAATGCAACAAAATGAAAATCAAAGATTTTAAGTCAGAAATTGATTTTGGAAACTATTAATGTACAACAATTTCCCAAACTGACTGAATGTTCTGATTGCAATCTTCAGCTAAAGAAGATCTTGTAAAATCAATAAAGTGTGACCTTAAATTATCTTGCCTCTGACCTGAAGGATAATGTATTACAGATGATCTTGCGAAGTATAGCAGATCATATATCACAGAGTGTCATTCCTCAATCTATCAGTGCTCCTGGGAGGATTTACCTCCCTACAATGATGGAAAAAAACTGCACTCTGCAAGTTCAATGACATCCACTAGCAGGAGTTAATTTGGGTCAGCTCTCTGATAATATAGGGCAGTGTGCAAGGGCCCCAATTTATTTGCCATGAAACCTGTACTCTAGCTCAAAGGAACACAAAACATAGATGATGGAATTGAAGGAAACATATGTAACATTTTGCTTAAGAATGTTCTACATTTAAGGGATATTCTAAGCACTAAAGCAGCTTTAGCTTCATGAAGAAGTTTTGGTGCCTAGATCATGCCCCTGCAGTCTCACTGCTTAATTCTGTGCCATGAAGGAGTTAAAGCACCTTTGTTTATGCAGCCCCAGCCACACTTCCCCAGTCCATGGTTCTGTCAGCCCCCCCCCCAGATGAAACCCCTGCTCGATCCGACACTAACCCCCTCCACACCTTTCCACGCTACACAGGAACATGCTGCACTGATGGAGACTGTGGCTTCCAAGCTGCATCAGCCAGATCTGTTCTCCAAGTGGGTGTTCTAAGCGCACATGCGCCAGAACAAGAAGACTCTTAAAGGAGAAGTAGGCATTTTCCAGAAGGAGTTAGGTAGGACACCTGTGAGATGTGCTCCATCCCCTCTCCTATATATTCCTGCTCAGTATTCTGTGTTCCAGTCTCCTATCAAGTTGTTCTCTGTTCCTGTTTGCTTATCTGATATCCAACCTCTGGCTTGTGCTACGTTTATGATCCTGTGCTGCCTGAACCGACCTTTTGCTTGCCCTACTTCGTCTCTATCTACTAGACTGTGGCAAAAATACTGAGCCTCAATATGGGGCCGTAGATCAAACCCAGCTCACGCAAGAGGTCAAAAACTTCAGGCCCAGGCATCTGCGCCTACCTCATCCTATATATCCTATCCACTATCCTATATATAGTGATCACTGTGATTTTCACAGTCAGAAGACACCAGCGTCCATAGGAAAGCATTGAGAAATGCTTTCCTATGTACTAACTGAATGTGCACGCAGCTCTTGCCGCGCATGCGCTTTCAGCGGATGGCGTCGGAAGACGGTGGAGAATTCCCAGAGCCTGGCGCTGGATAAAGGTAAGAATTTAACCCCTTCAGCCCGGCGGGAGGTGGACCCAGAGGGTGGGGGACACGCAAAGACCCTATAGAGCCAACGAGTTTGAGCAGTGATACTGCAGGGGCATGATCTATACACTTAAACTGCTTAATTACTCTGCTAATTTATGGAAGCACCTATAGTGGCTGTCATATTGATAGTCACTATAGAAAGAGGAACTCTTTAAAGTTTAGCAATTTAAAGTTATCTTTAGAAAGGCAATGTTTTAACTGCAGGGTTAAAAGGGGTGGGGGGCACATAGAATACCTGTAGTGTTCCTTTAACACACAATAATGTTTTTTGACTAATATAGCTGGAAGACCTCTAGGTACATTTCATACATTACGATATTATGATGTTATATCATAACCACACTATTTAGGTTCACTATACCAAAGAATATGTTTGCTTCCAAAAAATGCTTTTAGGGAGTTCTAGATTGCTTGCAGGCCATGCACTTTAGGAGTACCAAGATGGTCGTAGACCATGTGTGTAACGGATCACCTGGCACCCCGACTGGGTACCTCCGTTAAAGGATGCTCCTAGCGCTTCCTGAGGACTCCAAGCACTGCAGCAGACACCACAACCACCGAACCGGAGGAGCATATGAATCCTCT